CCCCAAAACCCCAAAACCCCAAAACCCCGCATTGTTACAGTATAAAAAGGTCGTTGGAAAATTTTAAGGTAGGATTTATTAAATTTACAAAAATTACATATAAAATGAGTAAGACTACACATCAAAGGCCTCTAACTGCTCTCAATAGAGTAGCTCATCAGACTACATCTACCCCTGATTACTCGAAAGAACACTGGGCATGGCAATAAAGAATCAAAAGAGAAGCTCTTGCTAATCCGAAACCAGACTAATAAGATGCTTTGAGGACCCTATACAAAAATCTAGTGTAGCAGTAGATAACTCAAAAATAGTCTGGAGAAAGCACACTCAAAGTTTCAAGTTTATTATCAACTTACCATGGAAAGTTTTCTGACAATTATACTCCATTTCCACATTAACTAACCCAAGATCAAATTAAAATGGTTGAAGAAAAAGCAAAATAAGGATTCTAGACTACTTATGATTAGTGTTTCAACAAGCATCAATAGTTCTAGCCAAACAATAATCATTAATTTGCACCAGCAGCGATGGTACTTGAGTGACTTAATTCAACAAAGAACAATCAAAACTATCTGCATTTCGGTTATAGACCTAGATCAAAGATGACTTCTTCAAGAAACAAAAGCATGATAGAAGAAAGGGATTAAACAAAGATCTCATCAAATGATCTTTAACATAGCATTTCTATTCCAACTTAAAAGTCAAGTAATCAAAATAAAACGAATAAAAGCAGAGTGCAGTCTGCATTTAACAAGGCTAAGTGGGTAAAAGGTTCTAAGAAAGGGAGCTAAAAGAGTAACAATGAAACCTAGAGTATAAGATTCAATGAATCAGTGGATGATTATCATGTATCTTCCAGTAAGATTTCTAAAGCTTAGCGAATGCGTTGGTTAATTGAGGATCAAAGAAAAGATCAAGATAGGAAAGATTCTCAAACTGGTATCAGCAGCACAAACAGATCTTCAGCTTTGATAGCTGAGAAACAAATGATTAAGTCGCATTTCTAAAGACCTAAATCTTCAGTAGGCTCCTATCTTCATCAGAACGATTTGACTTTTGACAGTTAAGATGGAGGCTAATATTCTAATATGCTGACAAAGCATAATAGATCAATGCATTAGAGAGCGAATTCTATCACAGGGAGCTAATAAAATGGATAAAATGAAATCAATTCTTAGAAACTAGATTTTGTCTATTAGGGCTAAATGAGAGACTACATGCAAAGACTTGGCTATGAAGAGAGACGTAAATTTTTGCTTGGATAGATTAGGTAAATACTTTTGAATGAATAATTTTTTCAGTTTACTTGAAGAGAGACATCTTAATTAGCTGCTAGATGAATACAGCCTCAGAGATATTAACTAGCTTTTAGATTACATTGAAACTGTTAACAACTTTAGTCAAAATATAGATGAGAATCCTGAGGAGTTTGACAGAGCGAGTAGTGTTGCAAGCTAATCATTTACCAATGCTTCATTCTCCGCTGTGAGTGGAGGTAGAAGACGCAGCGTAACAACTAGCAAAAGCTAGATTAGTTAAAGCATTAGTGTTGGAGGTTCCTCTCATGTTATTAACAGTCTCACTTCACAACTCTAAAAAGAAAAAGATGTAAGTTTTTATAAAAGTATTTCTAGTTCTAAATGATTATTTAGAAAAGATCAAAGCTAGAAGAGGAGGTAAATAAACTTAAACAGCAAGCATTAGCAATAAGTAAGCTATAAAAATCTCATAATTTATTAATAGGTAGAGGTTTGCTGAAGAATAAAGCAAATAAGCATTGATATTAAACTTTTTATTTAATTTATATTTTTACAATTTTAAGCAAATTTTTAACTATGGGGGTTTTGGGGTTTTGGGGTTTTGGGG